AAGGTCTCTTCCAACCTAAACCTAGGGTTCTATGAGTCTAAGTATTTAGCACCTAAAGTGAAATTTATCACTGTTTTCATAATAAAAGTACCTTCTTGGTTACCTTATTTATAATAAAGATATCAGTCATTGGATAAGTAAAATTAATCCAATACAGGAGTTAAAAAAATGTTTGAACTGTGGAGACAATGAAACAAAGATTTGCTTCAGGAAAGACTGACTTAAACAGAAAGCTACTGACTGAGGAGAAGGGAGCTAGGTAACTTGTAACAAAATGCATATTTATGCTAATGAGCAAATATGCAAGTGCTGTTGAACCTCTCTGCAAATGAGTATGTAGGATTTTGACACTCATTCATGTATGAATAGTTAATACAATTTGCTTATCAGATCTTGCAGAATTAGCATGAAAGAAAAAATGTAAGGATGATTCCAGAAGCACAGTATCTCTCTGGCTGATTATAATTCTGTTTTTTTATTAATTATTTTGAATTATCCCAAACTTTTGTAGTGGAAAGTAGGTTCATTCAGTCTGGTAAAAAATGGGAGATAACTGCAAAAGAAACAATCTTGCCAAACTAATGATTGCATTTTTTGTTGGCAGTCATTGGTTGCACTAATTGCAAGCATTAATTTCATGAAGATTGCATAATATTGAAAACAGAATGCTGTCTGGCTTATTACAGCAGCTGCATGGAATGGCTTTTGTGGCCGATGCCAGAGAAATGGAAATGTGATGCACAGCTTTCTAACGCAGCTGAGGTTTGGAACAGTAGAACAGTCTTGCCGCAGAAGATAAAGGCAAATAATCTAGTTGGTTAAACAAAATCATACTTATGCAAAGTCTGTAAAACTAGTAAGTTGTCTCAGTCAAGTACATCACTGAGAAAAATACGAAAAACTGAAAGAAAATGGGCTGGACATCGTAGTGTCTGAGTAGCAGTATCATCATTTTATGCATGTTTTGAGCCCCCATTTTATTTTTGCCTGATTGCCAACGAAGGATAATAGCCCCCAGAGACCAAGTTCTGCTTTTTAATGCACTAACTTGTGTGGTTCTTTATTGCTAAAAGCATTGCAGGACATAAGGAGCATGACTGCATTCCAGCTTACTGAGGGATGAGCTGGTTTATCACTTCCTGTGCTGCTACATCTGCTGCTGTGTCTAAGCACAAAGCTTTGCCACGTGCTCTGCAGGTGCCTTTGCTTCTCTCCACAGGCTGCTGCTGCACACTTTCATGTATTGTCATGTCCATGCTTTAAGCAGAATTCAATGGTCAATATCCATTTGAGGGCAGAGCCTTTGATGGGCATCCATCATTGGTAATGCTTGTGTCTCCTCAGACTAAAAGTGTTGGTCACACAGGTCTGTTGCTGCTCTTGTAGAGAGTTATTGAAGTGGTGGCTGTTTGGAGGTCAGTAGCACTTCTGTGAACTTGTAAAGGACTTTCTGACATACCTTTAGTATTTGTCATTCCTCTTGTGTTTCTCAAGAAACCTCCGTGGCTTCAGGATGCTTGAACATGGCAGTTTTCTACCTAGGTAATTAGGAATCTGCCAGTTCTCCTGTCTCTGGTGCTGTGATGCACTTGGCAGTTCCATTCTAGCTTTAGCATGCAGAAGGCTACACTCAAAAAATCACACTCTGCATTCACCCTTGGTACTCAAAAAGCTCAAGTCTCAAACTTGCCCCATGGCTTCTTTCACCATGTCTCATTTTGTTCTGGCTATTTTGTTTTAATGTGTGTTGCTTCTAGTGTTGTGTTGTATAACTCTGTGGCTTGGATATGTGCATAATCAGCTCTGCCCCATTTATCAATCCTAGAATTCTCTCTCTCTTCTGCAACCATGGAGCTGTCCTAGACCTGCATTTCCTTCATCTGTGACTCCAAGTCCCCCTTTTTCTCCTCAATCCTATCTCTATGTCATCTGTACATAGAAGGTCTCTACCCTAAATCTTCAAGCACTGGGCAGTAGAATGGAAAAAGACTTGCGGAGTTAGATTGTTGGAATCTTTCACACAAATATTCCACGTTCTCTCCAGTTTTGATCATCCCATGCTTTCCTCTGCCAAGAAGATGTGAACAGGGTTTCTTTCATCCCTTCCCTTAGGAGAATGTTCTGTGCCTGGTAGATCTGACTGTTAGGCATTCTTTCCTAAATTAGTCCTTTCCCTAATCTGCTGTTATTGCCAGTTATATGTATGACATTATATTCTCCACGAAAAATCAGTTAAACCCACTCTTCTTAACAGCAGGGAAAAAACCTCTTTATTATATGATGAGGAAGCCAAAAAAGTTGTTCTCTTTCATTACGCTTGATAGAAATACTTGTGTCCAGGGGTTTTTCCTCTGGAATGATCCCTAAGCCCTGGAAAATTTGAGCTCAATTTATGGTTCCATGAAGCCCTAATTAGTCACAACATCATGTTACAACCCAGAATGCTATTAATCACTAGGTGCTGAACAAAGGGATTTCACGCATGTGTCTGTCTGTTTGGGGACCTCATCTCCAGGGGTTTGGAAGTAAATCCCACAAAACAAAGTGTTGGGGGTTTCCTGCAATGGACTGTGATGAGAATCTGCAGAATTTAAACGTGAATTTGTTCAGAGCTTTTGAAGCAATCTCTTATGATTTGATTTCTTTCAGAAGTCTGCACAGGAGAAGAAGAAAGGTGGAGCTAGTTTCTGTGTCGCTTGGAGGGAGAGGATGGGTCAGGGTGGGAAAGCTGCATCTTTGGTCAGAAATAGGCATCTGCAAAACACAAGGAGGGAAAGATGGGAAAGGAGACCTGCATTCACAGAGCAATGTACTTGTACTTGTTCCCCTCCATTTCACTTAATGGACATTAAATGTAGATAAGTGCTGAATGGAGGCAGAAAACCAAAGGAAACAAGTAACTACTTGGGTATAAGAAGCAGAGATGATTCCCTTATTTTATGGGTAGAATCACAGAATTTTTAGGTTTGGAAAAGCCTGAAAGATCATTGAGTTCAACCCAGAATTGCCAAGCCCTTCACTAAGCCATGTCCAAGCGCCGTACGTACATGACTTTTAAATCTGTCCAGGGGTGGTGATTTCAGCACTGTTGTGGGCAGCCTTGTGTGAGTTTACCTTTTCAGTAAAGAAATTTTTTCCTAATACCTAATCCAGGTATCAGGTAAGGAATTATAGATTGAATCTTGAAATCCATACTGTGTTTTCATTGGTGTCTGTGATTATTTTGCTTGAAGAGACATGCAGCAAAGTGGTCTGCAACACAGGTATAAGTGGGTACATGTCTGTCCAGTGGTGGTGTAGGGTATGTTTGGTTTTTAGCAGCCAAAGCTTTGTTTCTCTGGACAGAAAGGACACCTTCTTGTAGCTGTGCTGCCAGTGGAAGGTATTAATCTAATGGTAGGGATATTTCCAAGTCTTTGGCAGACATTTAGGAGATATAAGGGTGTTTCACAGAAACAGAATTTTTATTGTAACTCAGGAATGGATGAATTATTATAATGGAGTATTATCTGAGTCCAGATGTGCTGTTACTGTGGATGCATATTGGCCAAGTGCTTTCTAGTTATGACATTACCTAATTTAGATTTAAATAATGGATTTATTTTTTTTCTGCTTGTGCAATGAATAACACAACTGTTTGGTAAGTCACATATGGTGGCATTCTGAATTTGCATGCTGTGGTATGAAATTAAAAGTTTTTAACCAAATATATATATATCACCTTTTGATTATGATAATCAAAATATTATAATAATAATAATTTTTATAATGGTACAGATTGGCATGTACCATTAATGCCAACATTTAGTGTACAATATTGAATAAACCAACTAGTAAATTCAGATTTCTAGCTTTATATTTTATCCTTCTTCCCCTCCTTGTTCAGCTTCTACTTTCTTGTTATTTTTATCTATGAGGCGTTCATTGGACGTTAAGTCCAAAATTCTTCATAGGTTGACAAAACTTTTACAGCAAACATGTTTTTTTGGTGTGAATGACTGTACCTGAAAACTTTAAACATTTGATCTTCAGTTTTGACCTCTAAATGTCAATGAAATGTAACAGTAATATTTTATTTAGTTAGTTTTAGGTCTTAGTTTTAAGACTTAATGAGCCTGAAAATAAGCTCTTCCTATATATTTATCCAAGGTAGGAAAGAACAATTAATTCTGAAATAAAAGTATGGGAAAACAAGTAAGTTTACAACACATCCTGTTGCTCCAAGTGTTAACAGATGTGCTCTAGTAGCTACTAGGTGAACTTTGCCAGTGCTAAGATGATAAGTCAGGTAAAAGTCAAAGGAAAATAAACTTGAAATCTCTCAAGTGAATCAATTATTCAAGCACACAAAATGCCAATGCATTGGTGTCAAATGGAGCAAACATTTTAATTCTCCCAAATCCAGATGACAGTGTATGCTATATGCTATATTAGAGAGCAACATGAAGTGGGCAAAGCTGTGTCACACACTTCCTGTACAGAAAGATCAGTGTCAGGTCTCTGAATTTTTCATGCACACAGCATCAGCACAGGCTTTGAGTTGAAGACCATGCACAGGGCTCAAGAATGCCATGGCCAAAAAGATGTTCAGTAATACATACCACAGCTGAGAGGCTGATAAAAAGTCTGTTGTAACTGTTGCAGGGGAATGAGAGGTGCCGTGGCATAGTTAACAATTGCCATGGACCATGGTACCAAGCTTTATTTGAAGTTTGAAAACTTAGAGCTCTTTTGTATCTGTCTCATTCACTGTGACTTTTTGAGGTACTTACCAGCCTATTAGCCCTCTGAATCAAGGCAAAACTTTTCTTTTAGAAAATCACGAAAACCATTTTTATGCTCACAATTCTTACCTTTTCCTTTTGTTTGTTTGTTTTCTGTGGGGTTTTTTGTTTGTTTTTGTGGGTCTTTTTTTTTGGTTGGTTTGGTTTTTTTTGTTTTTGCTCTTGAAAGCAGCTGTGCTGTTTGAAGGGTCAGCTCTTCCTCTGAGAACCTGCCAGATGAATTTCCAGGACTAGCTTGCCTTCCCACTGGGTGTATTGCTGTGCTGTGCTCTCCAAACATCTGCTGTTCACCATCCTGCATCTCATAACTGCACCAGCAGTGCTCAAAGAATATCCTTGAGCCACTCCTGTAAGACTGACCTGCCCACATCCTCCCAAATTAAATCTAAAGCAAATCCATTACAGCATACTAAAGAGAATAGTAGGGTGCAGCTAGATCCTTGAGAGGCTGAGAAAAGGGAAAGCAGAATATAATCTTTAGGCACAACGTCAATGTGCACCCACCTACAGGGAACTGTGAAACTTGACTCACGTTAAGGATCTCTGAAAGGGTGGAGAAGCTTTAGAAGGAAGTGGCAGAGCTGAAGGAAATTTTCAGTCCTTAGAAGTGCTGTTGGGAAAGCCAAGGTAAGTAACAAGAGTGGTATCTGTTCTTACTTCCCAGGTACAGCCTATTTACTGCAGAGATCTGGGGACTGCACTAATTTGTCAGGGTTGTTGGGGTTTCTCCTTCTCATGGTGTGGTGCCCTGGATTTTGTGATTCATGTAGGTGGGAGGGTTCAATAGAGGATTTTCTTGAGGACAGGCACGTGAAAGATAAAGTAGGCACTTCTAGTTGCCATCTTTTTCTTTCTCAACTTTGCCTCCAGAATTTTGCCATTGCTGAGAATTTGTCTTTTTATCTTCTCGTTGATAAGTGACTAAAAGAAGAGCAAAGTTTATGATGATAATGTTTTGTGGTGGCCACTGGTTCTGCCTGGGATCACAGATTTATACTGCATGGCCTCTAAGAAAATATTTAACAAGCTGTTGTTTTTCAGGGAGAGGAGGTGGGAACTCCTAAGTCTTTGCTTACGTGAAAAATACAGGTGTATGGCAGATGAGAATAATGCACTCTCCATCTTAATAATATCTGTGGTGAGAAATAGTTTAAATTACAACATTAAGGTTTAGGTTAGAGGCTGTGGAAAACTTTCCAATGGACTCTCTGGGGTGGTCATGGAACCTGCATTCCTGCTGACCATGGACAAACATGTTGGAAAAATCAAGGCTGGAGCTGGTCCCTTCTTGGACCTGGGGCAGATGGACAAGGTGATGCCATCAGGTCTTTTTCAGTCTATATTTTTCAGTGGTATTTTTGCTTTTCCTTTAATGGCCTTGAACATACCTTTTCTCTACCTGTCTAACACTGCCTAATTTTTTTCTTGTGTTTTATTTTGTCTCGTCCGTGTATCACACTTGCAGTTGTGCATTGTGGTGTTGTTCTGGCTGGGTGTGCCTCGCTGCAGTTGCCGTGGCAATGCTGGGAAGTGTGGCTGTGATGAGCCTTTCCTGGTGAGGATTGCAGCCTTCAGGTGTGCCTGGAGAACTGTAGCAGCAGTGGGATCTGTGGCACGGCCAAAGGGGTCTGCCAGTGCCACAAGGAGTTCATTGGACAGGACTGGAGTGAGAATCAATATCCTGGGGATTGCAGTGGCAACGGGTTCTGTGACACAGGAGTGTGCTACTGTTACAATGGCTTCTTTGGCCTCAGCTGTTCCAAGGGTAAGACGCCTGAGAGTTACTTCTCTCTTCATTCTGGCAATCTGACTTTCCCTCTCTCCTTCCCATACACTTTTAGTTAATCTTGTAGGTAAGCCAACCCTGGGATCACCATGGTGAGTTTGCAGTTTCTGCTAGCTGATTGGTCCTTGTCTTGAAGAATTGCTTGGGAAACACTGTGGAATTGGGGAGAGGTGAGAATACGTTTAAAGATGGTGCTAGCAGCAGCCTGTGTGCTAGCTGAGGGAGAGAGCAAAGTGAGCCTGTAATTAAAGAAGGAGACAGGGTTCATTTCTTGACATACAAATGAGACATTAGAAGGTAAAATTGTGTTTGCTGCAGTGTGCACTGCTTGCTGATGAGGTAGTTGATTGGATGAAACCTGTGAGACAAAGGGTGTGTAGATCCTTTTAAAAGCCTCCCTTTGAAGTGAGGTCATTGGGAAATTGTTCCTTATCCTGCTTCCTTACAAAGTAGTAAGATTTGCTTGCGAAGACCTTGAGGAGTGTCCTGCACTTCATGCAATGAAGTGAATGCACTTCATTCTGCCTCCCTACAGCCAGAGGCTGGTACTCAAGTACTCAGCCTTTTGCCCTGGAAGCACCTTCTCAGCATGGCACTCTTGATCTAATCTTCCACAGCTCCTTGTGAAAAAGTAACCAGCACACACCGAGGCAGGTATTGCTCTGTGAGGCTTTTCAGTGACCTTCTTCACAGATCTGATTTGCCCTGTATCATCCCTCATGTTTCAGGCCTGATCTGTCTGCTCAGAGACTCACCTTTTAAATAAAGATTATTGGTTCAAAACTTCACTCCTGGCATTTCCACATTATTCAGGTGTGGCTATCCAGCATTCTTCTCTCTTGTCTGTAGGCTGAGAATTGCTACTCAGGAGGCAGCACCTTTATAGAGGTGGCGAGCATAAACAATTTTGTCAGAGAGCTGTTGCCCTCTTGTTTTCTCCCAAAGGGCTGTCTGTGTTCAGCTTTGGATCCTTTTCCTTCCACAAAACCTGCAGTTGTTTTACAGGCCCTGAAAGTGGCCCCTGTTCTCTGAGTGAGCAAGGGCTACAGAATTAATGCATGTAGCACAGTCCATCTTGTTACTGTTTCTGAGCACTACACCTCCAGTCCTGCTTAAAAAGTCCAAAGGAAAGTGGTTCTTTATCTCAGCAGCTGTAGCCAAGTGCTCCTCTCCTGTAGATGTCAAATTGTTTTTTCTGTTCCAATCTGGGTTAGATTTCTGCATCCTGAGAGATACACCAAGCACTGGCTTTATTTATTGTTATTAATGTGTTCTTTTTTATGTGTCTCAGATCATGAAGTGACATTTTATGTTGCCATGGTAACTGGAATATCTGAACATTTAGAATTTACTATGAAGCATGCAAGAGTATTATTAATGCTTTGCCATTCCTTCTGAAGGAGAACTAGAGTACAAGGACATGTTGAACAGCAGAGAGGCAGACACAATCATCTTCTGAACTCTGCTTGGACAAGGAATAAAGTACACCACATGTATTTAGATACTTTCTTATTTTACAGAAAACCTGAATTATTTAAATCCAGCTTCTATATCACAAGAAGAGACAGGATGAACAGTCTCATATTTTGTACAGAGTTTTCAATGAAAGCAATGGTATGCACATAGTGAGGGTGGGTTTGGTGAAAGCAGTGAACTACACATGGGAATGAATGCTGCCTTTCAAGTGAGAAGAATCTGATGTTATCTGACCTCATGTTGCTGACACACGCCTTTTTACAGGCACTATCTATATGCTTTGTTATCAGTTACAGCCTTGCTGTGTTGGTTTTACTTTCCCTGGTTTTTGGTAGTGGGGGAGCCACAGAGGTGGCTTCTGTGTGAAGCTGCTGCAAGCTTCCACCATGTCTGGCAGAGCCAGTCCCTGATGGCTCTGAAGATGGACATGCTGCTGGCCAAGGCTGGGCTATTAGAGAGGTTGGTAACGCCTCTGTGATAACAGATCTGAGAAGAAAATCAAAACAAAGGTGGGGACAGTTGTAATTTTCCAGCTATAGAAGAGGAGGAGGTAAGAATGTGTGAGGGAAACAACATGGAGACACCAAGGTCAGTGGAGAAGGAGAGTTAGGAGGAGGTGCTCCAGGTGCCAGAGCCGAGATTCCTCTGCAGGCTGTGGTGAGACCATGGTGAAGCAGCTGTGCCCCTGCAGCCTGTGGGGATCCACAGGGATGCAGAGATCCCCTCACAGCCTGTGGGGATCCATGGGGGATGCAGAGATCCCCTCACAGCCTGTGGGGATCCATGGGGGATGCAGAGATCCACCTGCAGCCCAGGGGGGAGGTGTCCATACCAGAGCAGGTGGATGCCTGGAGGAGGCTGTGATCCAGTGGAGAGAAGAGGCCCTGCTTCCAAGCTGGAGCAGCCTGTCCGTGGAGCACTGCACCCTGTGGAAGAGTGACCCCACCACAGCAGTTTTGGGAGGACTGTGTGCCTGTGGGAGGGACTCACACTGCAGCAGTTTTGGGAGGACTGCTGCTCGTGAGAGCGGATCCATGCTGGAGAAGTTCATGGAGAGCTGTCTCCCATGGGAAGGGATCCCACAGCACAGCAGGGGAACAGCTCCTCTACCTGAGTAGCAGGAGAAAACCTTGCATGATGAACTGACCAAAACCCCCATGCTCTGTCTCCCTGTCCTGTCAGTGGGAAGGAGGGAGGGGTGGGGGAAGAAAAGGTGTTTTTAAGGGCTTATTTTACTTCTCATTATCCTCCTCTGATTTTGTTAGTAATATACTCACTTTCTATCTCTAAGTTGAACCTGTTTTGTCCTTGGAGTGCTTTCTCCTGGTCCTTCTATCAACTCATGAACCTTTTGTTTAAATTTTTTCTCTTCTCTGCCCAGCTGTAGCAGGGGAGGGCGAGTGAGCAACTTTCTTGGGTGCCTGGTGTTTGGCCAGTGTCAAACCACAAAACTTGCTAATGAAAGCTGGTAGATTGTTTGATCAGCTTAGCATGTGCTCACTTGTAATTAAAATCCAGTAAACTTGATGGTAAACAGATATTCTGTAAGGACTGCTTTCAAGGTCTGCTTCAAGACATTGAGGAGCTGTCTCTTGGCAAAATAGTTAAGGTATTGTTGGTGTCCTGAAATGTCTTAAGTGCAGCAGATTTGCCCAGGTCTCCTCTAGGCACCAAATATAAAAGTTTCCATCAGTACTCAGTGAGAAAAGCTCATCTTTCTGCCTCTTCTGTGGAGTGGCTGCACTCCCTAGTTTTGGAGATCAGTTGACATTTGGAATTAACTCTGACAGTTATAGGAAAAGAGGGCTTAGGCTTGTCTTTCTATTCCTAGATGTATTGGTACAGAGAGCTTTATGATAGAGTTTTCTTCATGCCAGTGTGGGTTTAGAAGCTGGAAAGAGTCATCCAGGAAATTGTATTTGTTACTGGCTGCATTATTCGTTTGTATCAATGTATTGTATCAAATGATATGCCATTGAGCAGAAAGAAATGGTTAAATCCAAGATGACTATAGGCTGGGAGCTCCAGTTCTACATTTTCTTACTCAAACTAAGTTTGAAAAAATTTCATGCTTGGCCATGTGGCAAATGATGATGCTCATTGCAGTGTTTGTCTTTGTTTCTCTTTTAGTCCTTGCTCCCCAGAATATGCAGTTGCTGAACCCCACAGAGAACTGTCTGTCTGTCAGCTGGGATCCTGTGACTGATATGGATAATCATCTCCTTACCTATTATCTGGCTTGGTATGAAATGATGGTGAAACAAATCCATGTGCCCAAAGAGCAGCTCAGCCATGAGATTGTACTGGTGCCAGGGTGGAATCTCACAATGTCAAACTTCCATCACATGTGAAGGGGATTGCCAGTGAGCCCAAGCATCTAGAAACAAGTACAGGCAGGAACAGGTAGTATTATTTGAAGAGTCAGATGTTGTAAACACTTAGATTTCAACAAGTGAGGGGAACTGCGTGCCAGGGAGCACTTTCTCTTCCCATACTAGAGCTATGTCATTGTTTTCTGGAGAATCAGTTCCCAGATTTGGATCACTAGGGCTGAATGTATTGCAGATTTCCTCTCTTTCCATTTTTCTTGTCCAAATCCTACTTGTGTTGATACCTGTGAATTCCAGGGAATTTGTAGTGTTGCCTGCTGCAAGAAGCAGGAATGGAAGCATGCAGGATAAAGGCAGCATGTTACTAAGAATAATGCACTGTTCAACTGGATGCAGAAAGAACTTTAAAGTAGGCAGGATGTCATGCCTAGATACTTACTGTCCAAATATGTCTGCAGTAGTGAGTTCTCCTCATAGTCTCTTCCCAGGACTGAATGAGCATGATCCTGCTGAGGTTAAGAGGATGTGTCTGCAAAGGCTGTGTATTTCAAGCAGTCTCTTGAGAACTGAAACATCCTTTGGTTAGCAGCTGATACTATGCTATCTGCTTGTACTTGGCAAAGACAGGCAAAAGCTTGGTGATTTTGATGTTTTTCCTGCTTCCAGCACAACAGGTGGGAACTGAGAGCCAGCAAACACCAGAGCTGGACGGTTACCATGGATAAAACTAAACCTGTTGAAGTAACAATTGTGCTGTCCTTGCTTGACTTCTCAGTTTGGCTGAGGAAAATATCTTGTGTCTCAGAACAGGAAACTGGGCAGGGAAGGAGCATTGTTTAGTGACTTTTCTTTCTTCTATTTACCTTTTTGTGCTGATGCTGGTTCTCTACATCTCTCTGCTGTCTTTCCCAGTCCAGTCTGCAGTCAATGTCATCTGGGTGCCAGAGGAGATGGAGTACTCCCTGGAAGTGGAGTGGGTGAACCCATCAACAGATGTGCATTAATACAAGCTGAAGTTCAGATCCCTAGTGGAGATGGATGAGAAGCAGGTCATGGTGCCCAAAAGCAATGACCCTAAGAGCAGATACATCCTCACTGGTGAGTATTTGTGGGTGTTCCAAACTGGGCAGGAGCAGGAAGAAGTGGCAGGAATGATTAACTCAGACTGAGACAATTCTTCTCTCATGTGAATGTCTGGTGAGATCTGTTTGGGCTCCCCTATCACATAAGGAGGGGTGTCTCCACAGGGAGAAAGCTATGCTCTGTAAATAACAAGTTTCCAGGCATAGTCATTCATTTAATTCTGTCCTTGGTAGGAAAAAAGTGCATTTTTCTGTTTCAGAGCTGATATTATGGAAATCCCCACCACAGAGCATTGAGCAGCAGTCAATATGCCTGCCCTAAGGGCAAGCCTAGATCAAAGGTGCTATCAAAGCATTGAAAAGACAAAAAGCAAGTTGGATAGAAATCTGAACTTTAAGTTCCCCTCTGTAAAAAATCTGGAGCTGGATAAACTAAACAAAACAGCTTTCTTTAAGAAAAAATGCCATCTTCCCTAATTGTTGGTAATGCTCCCTTATGTTCTTTGTAGGCCTGAAACCTGTAACAGAACATAAGGTCACTGTCACACCTGTGAAAGACAGCACAGAGGGGAAGCCATCCTCAGTGACTGGCAGGACTGGTATGTGGAAAGTTGCTTTTACTACAGTGATGTTACTGTAGGGTTTGGGGACAGATCTTTCAAAATTCCAGCACAAAAGGTTCATAATTGACTGCTTCTTCATACATGACCTGCAGCCAGGTCTGCTTATGCCTTGTCTGAGCTTGCATACACTGTATATTAAACACTAAACCCTAAGCCTAGCTCAGTCTTTTGCTTTAATTTTTCACAGTAACTTCACCCTTAACTTGACTAACAGCTCCATCCAGACAGGATAAATGTAGTGAGTTGGTCTCTGTATGGAATTACAACTCTGTTGACTAACTGACTGTCTTAAAGAAAAGTGGCAGAATATTTTTGAGCTATTCTATTGCAAAAGAGACCTTGAAGAATTTTAAACTCTCATTCTACTTACAAGATTCTGGAATTTCTGAAATTCATCTCTTACAAAAGGGTAGGCATGCTGCTTCCAAAGTCTGAAAAATTCCGTATCAGGCCTGACATTTCTGAGGTTGTTGTGTAAATTGTTCTATTAAAATGAAATTTATTTTAAACATCAAAACCTACAACCTCCACATTGTCATTTGAGGGCTATTCTTCTGCCCTGTGTAGACTCTGATTATTTGGAACGCCCTTGATTTGTGTTTTCAAGCTGTTCTTGACAGACATGGGGGCTGAAAAGCTTCTTAAAAAAGGAAAATAATAACCCCAATGCTCATATTCTTATGTAACCCCTGGAATTTAGGAGATGCAAATAAGCAAATACCAGCTACTTCAAGAGCTACCACCAAGCTCTGATTCATCAGCTAAAATAGCAAAACCTTGGGGGAGTCTGACAGACAGGTCTGCAGGGAAGGCAGAAAGGGAGGAGCAGCAGATGGCTAACAGTGGAAGCAGAGAAAGGGTAGGCACTGTACTTGAAGCTGGGAGGGGGCAAGCCAGAAGGTTGATGCCAAAATGATTTTTGCTTTTATATATTCTTCATTTATTTGTAGCTCTGTAGACTATTGCTGTACAGTTCTATAGTTCCTGGCTCACTCCAGCATTTTTCCTACTCTGATAGACAGAAAGACAAAACACATTCCGAAGGACCCAATCCCAATCTTGTTTCCTCTGGGAACCAAGGACGAGCTACCCTCACAAGACACTTTCCTATAAAAAACTGGAAGAAGAGGGGCCCCAGAAGAGTTTGAACCAAGGGGGGGAATTACCTCATCACCTCTGTTTCTAATTGGTGATTCTTGTCAATTATGCTAATTTGCTAAACTTCTAAAACTGTATTCGCCCTATGTGAGGTGGGCATTTTTCCATACTTGCCCCTAGAGGCCTCCAATTAAAGACCAGCTTTTATATTACCTCCTATATTAACATTGCCTTGAAATTGTGTTGTTTTATTTCTAGATCTTTAAGGCATCTAGGTAATCCTCAAGTTGGTATCTGTGGAAGGCAAGACGGGTACCCTGCAAGCTCTGCCTGCAGAAAGAAATTGAGAGTTTCATGTAAATGGTAGAACGTTCTTTCTTTCTCCTGGTTTCTCATGGATGCCTTTCTTCAGAGGCTGTTGGGGGAAACCTAAGTGAGTGTTTTGCTGGCCAAAGAAGTAAGGCAAAAATAAAGGAAATGTGTACATGGAATGGTTTGAGTTAGAAGGCACCTTAAAGATCATCTAGCCCAATCGCCTGCCATGGGCAGGGACACCTTCCACTATTCCAGGTTGTCCTAAGCCCCATCCAACCTGGCCTTGAACACTTCCAGGGTGGGGCAGCCACAGCTTCTCTGGGCAACCTGTTCCAGTGCTTCACCACGTGCCCAGGGAAGAATTTCTTCCTAACATGCCATGACAGGTTTTTTAGGGGTTTAATTCTACTGGACATAGCTAATCCTGCACTTTGAAATGCTGTCTCAGCCCAACCAACCTGACAACCGACCAAGGGACAGAAGATACCGCCACTGCCTCATGGAATAAAATGGAGGCTCCCTTAGACAGGTACATGGGGAGATACACCTCAGCTGATTGAGACACCAAGGAAATACAGTTGGGCAGTGCAAATGACATGATCACTTTACTGGATCTGAAGCCTGACATGGAATATGTTGCTGACATCTGCTCAGAGAAGGGGCTCCAGAGGAGCAAGAAGGCAAGCACCAGAGCTGTGACAGGTGAGTTGTAGCAGCAGGTTGGTTCATTGTCTCGAGCCAGCCCATGTTCTCACTGGGCAGCTCCTGGGCCATGCAGGGAGTTCAGTAGTGAAAAGCACTGCATATGCAGAGCAGCACAGCCCGTACGCAGCTGCAGTGCAATTAGACCTAAAGAACAAACTTGATTTTCATACCACACAAGAAAATAATTTGCTTGGTTTTTCTTGCCACAGATGAGCGTCTCATACTGCTAACGAGCTGAGCTGTGATTATTCAAATTCCCAATTCCCAGCATGTGCTGCTCTAGGGTGGCACAAACAAGCCTCAGCAACTTTCATTAAAACGAAAAGTAATGTATTTTCATCTCACAAAAGAGCTGAGATTAGTACATGCAGGTGGGGAAATCACAACTTTTCTGTAGCTAATGTGTGGTAAATCACAGTGCAGCTAAGCTGGTATGTGGTAGATTACACTGTGGCTGTTGTGCATTTGTGCCCTGGAATTTAGAGCCTCCAGCAGAATAAGAAATGCTGTTCCATTAATTTGAGAGGCATCTGCAAGACCTTCACTTCTCAGGCTGCTGAGATGTATTTAGTAATTCAGTGAATTAAAAAATCTTAACCAGACAAACAAAAAAAGTTGTTCTCTGTAAAGGTCATGGGTGGTATGGCTGTCCTCAAAGGGCCACATTACTGCAGGCTGTTGTGTTGTGATATGAAACTAAGACTTCTGAAATCTTGTGTTGTGTTTCCATCTGAGAATTGGGCAGGGAAAAGAGTGTAACTGTAGGAAGAATTAGAAAGTGACAGACAGCTGCATTTCATAGATTTTGAGCATTTGGTGATTTGGGGTTTTTTTGTTCTGATTCCCAGAACAACTCAGGCAAGATGATGTTGTAATCTTTAGAAAGCAAACGTCAGTAGCACCATATTCTGCCTGGGCTCAGTGTCTGCCTGGGCAGTGGCTGTGCTTTTGTTGCTCCCAAAGAAAGAGCCCTGATCTCATAGCTGTGAGGAGGAGACCTAAACCCTAGCTGAAATACCTCAAAACTGGGCACCCCCCTACTTGCTAGTTCAGGCCCATCCTTGGCAAGAAGTAAAGGATGAGAGGTGGAAGAAATCAGCAGGGCCCTGAGTGTCCCTGTTTGGACACTCCTGTTTTTCACTCAGCTGTTCCACAGAAACCAGCAGCCTGTCTCAGCCAGTGCAGGGCAGAGGGATGACTGACCCTGCCAAAGCTCAGCCACCTCAGCAGTGACATGCAGATATGGTCACCAATGTGCCAAGAATGGCAGAGCATAGAAGCAGTTAGCACACCTATTTTATCTTCCTTGCAATGTATCCAGCAGTACAAAATGATTTGGCTCCACAAATATCCAGGGGTGACTCGCTTAAGTAGTGGCTATTTCTTGCATGGTCAAAATACAGTTTACAGCTAAAGATAAAACTTCTGTTCGATTTACCAGTCTGGGCTGGAGAGAAAAAAAGAAGCAAGCTTTTGGAGCACAAAACCTCTTTTAGGTCTTTAGACATAGAATCTTTTCCCAAATTTCATCTGTTTTTCCAAGTTATTAGATAGTCTAATAAAGCACACTACCTCTGGCTGTAAAACTTGTGTTGTCTGTGTCTTTAGACCATTGTGATTACCACAGCCCTATACTAAAACTTCTAATAAGTTTTTCTCATAGAAATTGACAGCCCAACTATCAGTAACCACAAGCATCATCACAGAGAGATTCTAATTACCTGGAGGTACTATAAACAGGTCATGTTATAAATACTAAGAAGGATTAGGGTAAACAAAGTCCTTGCATCAGTGTCTCTTATGTGTTTGTGTAACCTTATTTTAATTGGTTGGTTTGTTTATCCTTCATCATGCAATAGGGAAATATTCAGCTCCTTGAGATGAAGAAATTGAAGTGCAGAGAGGTTAACAGCATATGGGCCACGTTTCTTTGCAATAGAATGAATAATCATGGTTCCTCAATTGTTCTCATGTTGCAGTCCTGGTTAAGGATGTGTAGTGATCTTTCTAATGTGTTTCCTGTTTATAACAACACTATAAATCTGAACATTGGAATCCACTGAAAGTGGTGGCAGGTATTGACAAGACTCATCTCTAGGCCAGGAACTTACTGGAGGGAAATGAATGAATGTGTACCTGGGTCACCCTGGCCTCTTAACAAAAGAGCTTTGGTTGTTCTCATTTTCTGGACAGATGACATGTGTGTGTTCTTTGGAGGCTTGTGACCATAACAAAACAGGAAAGTAACAGTATCATGCTTTGTAAGGGCTTTTCTGTCCAGGTCAGGACTGGCTGTGCTGTTTCCCAGGAAAGCATCTATTAGAATTAAAGACAGGCCTTTTAAACCACCTCAGACCTTGTCACCTTTAAGATTTGTGGATCCAATCAATGTGTGATCAGAAATAGGACTTGAAAAAGGAAGAAATTTGAGGGGAAGCAGTGTCACAGGTGACAGCAAAGCCTGAATATGACAGCCTGTGTTGTTTGCTTTAACTGTCTGCAGAAATCAACAGCCTGGCTCACCTTGCTGTGCCTCAGTGCCTTACCTTGCCTTGCTGTGCCTCTTCATCGTCAATGCCAAGTGTGGTGATTAGCCATTGAGATGCAGTAAAGCCACAGATGAGTTAGTCCTTGCCATCCTTTGTTTCCTGAGAATAGGAAAACAAAAAATTTAAGGGAAGGGTATGTGTCTTTTTACTCTGCACTTGATTTCGTAGTAATGGACAGCACGAGTCTGGTAACTGGCCAAGTGACAGAGGACTCAGCCACCATCTCCTGGGACAGAGTGCAAGCTCCCGTGGACAAGTATGTGGTGGGCTACACTTCTGCTGGTGGGCACATTAAAGAAACAGAAGTGGGGAAGGACAGGAGCATTACCACCCTTCCAGGACTGAAGCCAGGCATGAAATTCCCTATCCATCTCTGGACAGAGCTGGGGAGCAAGCAGAGTAAGAAGGCAAGCACTGACAGGTAATGTGGGCAGAAGGGAAAGGAAATGGGATGGAAGTTGTGCATCAACCCAGGCAGGCATCTGGAACAACCACCAAACCATGGCTGAAATGCAAAGAGTAAATTTATTTCAGTACTTCACTAATTGGAGGATCCCAAAGCAACACCTGGGCAGAGACACACAGGCAGGTATGCCAGCACCATTAGGCTCAGTCCCATTTTTCAAGGGTCCATGAATGTATCATTTACCTGAGCTTTGACCCCCTCTCTTCCAAGACAGGAAGCTTAAGTCAGTGTGAGTGCCTCCAAGTCTCTCCAAACACCTATGTTATCTCTGCACAGAAATTCTGCTTCTCAAAACAGTCAGGATAAACAAGAGTAGACATAATATATGGCGTTTCCCACACTGTTACTCTTCAGGCCTGGGAATTCCCAGCTGCAAGGTCATTGAATGTACCATCCTCCTCACCATTATTCCACTTTCAACCCTTTCCTCCCAGCAGATGGATCCTGCTTTATTATTTTTCTATGTTTTATAACAGAGTACTTTTTGCATTGCTGCACAGTGGTAGCCCCACTTAAATAATTAAATTTAGTATTTAAATACATGCATACAGGCTACCCATAAGAGAGACTGCTGCTGTAGATGATTATAGAAGAGGCAGATGTCGTAATGCGAGAGTGATGGCAGCTGATGGTCCTTCTTTCACTAGTTCTTAATCAAAAGCATGCAGTGCTTCATGTGCTGCCATCAAGCCTAACAATAGCAGGTTTAACAACCAAAATGAAACCATTTTAGAATTGGAGACAGCTATAAATAATGGTTTGCCCTTTGACTTGTGACCTTAGGCCAGTCCTAGGAGACTGCTAAGCAAGTTTAAATTTATTCTGTTCAGTCAGCTGTAAGGACTGTGATGTACTGAGAACATTTGGGGTTACACTAAATCCATTGACCTTGCTAATGTACTTTTTCTAGTTTATGCATTCATCTGGTGTGAGATAGAACAGTTGAAGCTTGGATATTGGGCAAGATGCCAAAGAGTTCCCTACTGCTTACCAAGATCAAGGGCAGCTGATGGGGACAAATCTTGAGGCTAAAAGGCTGAACCTATCTGAAACCAGAAATTAATGGAGAGTTTCAGCAAATGAAAATATTTTTTTCTTGAACAGGCATGAAATTGGAGGCGCCTGGAAATTTTGCATGAAGTGAAACTGCAGAGAGGGAATGCATTTAACATTAGTAGTGATATTTTTTAAAATATCTGCACAAAAATAAATGATACTTCTGCTAAAATAATACAACTTCTGAGGAAGAAAAGAATACATTTTCTCACTCAAGGTGCTGGCTGATTACTCCCTGGCATTAAAACTGGTTGTGGCAGGGAGCTGCCTTGTGGTGGCCCCCTGCACCCATGGGAACTGCCAGCGGGCCTTTGAGGGCACTGCTGTGAGACCGCAGCCTCTGAGGCTGCCCTTCCCATCCTTTGCTCCTTAGGATGGATTTGGTACCTCTTAGCTCCCTCTCCTGTCCAGCTGGAGATACATATGTAGTGAACTTGTCTGAGGAGGTTTCTGAGTTGTTTCACTTAAAGCAATTGTTTAGTGCTCTCCCAAATGAAGCACAAGTTCAATAGATAAAGGACTACTGTTCAAGTCATGAACCTGGTGTAAGGTGCTCTGGTTGTAATGAATGGACAGCGTTTTAAACAACATGGGCTGTGAACTGCAGTGCTACTGTCCATGCTCTTATATTTGGTGTTTTGATTTCTTCCTCTCTGCCTTTTTATCTGCTTTAAGCAGTAGACTGTGCATGAGGAGTGCAGCATTTCCTGGGAGGAGCCAGCCTGCTCAACTCTTCTTTATCTAAGACAGACAAAGCATGGCCTTGTGTTTTTCTGTGGCCTTTTCACAACTGCATTATTTCACTGATGCATTAAAATTTTTGTTATGCTTATCCTTATTCTTCAAGACCTGGGAAGTTTTGTAGCCTGGTATATACAGAAAGGACAGACAACAATGTGCCCATAGTCTTCCAGGGAGATCTGTGGAAGAGCAGAAAATTGAGATAAGTTATTAATTTATAGTTTGATATAAACTCAGGTGTGCTTCAGGGCTGGAGCACTCTTCCCTGGAGACCAGCACTTCCCACCAAGGACCTCCTCTGTACAACTTGGAAAGGCATTAAAACCATACTCATCAAATTGTTTCCTTAAGATGTTCCTAAAATATATAGAATAGAGCAAGCACAGGATGAAGATTAGGGAGAAGCTGCTACCAGTGTTTCTACTTTCAACACAGATTTAAAAATTGGATTTATCTTGAGGGAAGCACTGCAGCCCCCTTGTTGGCACCTCATAAGATGTTTTTTGACAACTGCTGTTAACTGGCATTCCATTAAAATAATTCTGTTCTTCTCCTTGTGCTGACCTTGGGCAGTCTGACTGCTCAGGAAAAGTCTGTCCAAGTCTTTGATGCCAGTGAAGGAGCTGATATCCCATATCCAGCACAGACTGAACTGTAAAGCTCTGGGTTTCTTTATATTCCTGTGTTTACTAAAGAAAACTGAACCATAACAACAACAACTTTGAAGTCATTCTTCATCTGCAGTAGGGGAACAAAGGGTAGAGGCTCTCAGCAGGCCATATTGGAGATGTGCTCCAGGACTGGGGCATAGAGCCTAAACCTGTCTGTGAGTGCTCCTCAGAGATTAGCCTGATGGAGACTCCTCAGGCAGACATGTGAGGGGCTGTGGGACACTGCACAGTTGAGCCAATTGCCAGGCTCACAGAACATCCCAAATCACACAGATCTGTAGAAGGCTTGCAGTGTTTGGTCTAGGCTTCTGCTGCTTGCTAGCTATGAAGGCCACTGGTTGACTTTCAGGCAACTGCAGTTCAGCCCAAGACCTGCACTGCAGTTTGTGTCTTTCATTTATGCAGTGGTGTAGCAGGACTTCCCCTTTGCCACGGAAGAACTTATCTGTTCTATCAGCTGGTGCAGAGCTCAGCTCATCTTCCCCCCCTTACAGGAATCTGCTAATTGGTGAGGTAACCCAAGCCAGACCTCTGTCCTGTAGTGAGTTATTTCTGGTACCAAGGAGGTGGAATTCCCAGCTGACCATAAACATCTTGCCTTGAGAGGAGATTGAAGGGAGATAAGACTTGAATTTCTGACTGACAGACACTTCACTTTACAAACTATAAAAGCTACACAAAACTTTCACAAAGGAGAAGTCTTTTGCACATTCCTTCAAAATGTGTGGGGACATCTCCTTAAGGCTGGCCCTGAGTTACTCTTCTGGAAGCTGAGTGAAAGGAATATGTGACCCTACCATCAGTTGTTGGTAAGCTATGTTGTTTCCTAATCTATATTATTTTTTGCTAGCTATAATACGGGTACCTTTAGGTTGTGCACTGTTTTATATAAATCTACTAGTAGTACTTTGTTTTAACCTGTGTAGTAAGTAACTGTTTAAGGTATTTTGTCTGTTAATCTTCTGTCTATTCAATAAATAACTCATGTATACTAGATCTGATTTGCTGTTTTCAAGAACTTGTGAGCCAGGGCAGTTTAGGTGCAGGTCACCTGATTTTAAGCTGCTGACAAAAATCTGAACCTGAAGCAGGGTTTGTCTAATGCTTGCACTCAATCCATAACAAATGTGAGTTGACTTTTCTTTTTGCACAGAGACTGATCCTCCCAAGAACCTCCATGTGTCAGGTGTGACTCATTCTACTGGTGTAGTTACCTGGACTCCTCCCACAGCACAGATTGATGGCTGTTCTCTGACCTACCAGGGTGAAGATGGCACAAGCAAAGTACAGTGAATTCCTTGAATTCCTCAGGCCTGTAGACCCCACTGAAATTACCCCTGTGATTATGGGCTCTGCCAGTTGGGACTTGTGGGTATGTGGACCACAGAAATTTTGAGTGGGAATCTATGTGGCTCAAGGAAGGCAATGTGCTGCTGTCCTGTGTAGAAGGTGTGGAGGGACTTAGTGACACTGGAAGTGTCACTAACTTCCTAACAGATCTTCAGGTGCTGAAAACATGGTTGTCTCTTCACTTAGAATATGTTGTTATTACCTGGAAGGACAGCACCCATCAGGGGCAGGGTGTCCTCAGTGTCCTAGGAGTGTTTCTTGAGACCTTAGTCCCAGTCTTCCTTCCAAGGAGATGGACTTCATGTTTCAAGGATGCAGGGTGAATTTGCCTATCTGAATCCTACAAGAAAACCTTTTAAATACATATGGGGTTTGGTGCACTGTGGTCCAGAAAAGCTAAATACTGTTCTGAGTTGGGTTGTGCTTTGATCTCTTGTCGCTTGGCAGGAAGTACATCTGGGTCCCAGCAAATGATTGTTTGTGCTAGAAGGGCTGGAACAAGGAATGAGGTACACTGTCTTTTTGATGGCCTACAAGGGAGATTGCCTGAGCAGAAAGAGCAGAGATTCTCAACAGGTAGCAACTGGCCTTGGATATTGCATTTTTCCCACGTGCTCTGCAGCTGTTGTGCATCACAGCAGAGATCAAAGATAGAGTTTGTGTCCTATGGATGAACAGGGAAGCAGTGATCATAATGAAACCAACTGGCAAATCAGTGGTGTTATTCCTGGCTGGGTGTCTGTTCGCAGCCACACCATCTGGAGGCTTGGGAACACGGTGTGACTGTGAGTGGAGATTGCCCATGCTGGCCACCAGTGCTGGCAACCCTTGCTAGCCACATGCAGGACAAAACCTGCTGATGAGAGGCCAGTAAGCAGGAGAGAGGATGATAATGCAGATCTTTCTGCACATCCTAGTAATGGCAGGGAACAACAGTGTAAATAATCTCAGGGCCTTGGGTAGCTGTCCAGGTTGTTCAGAGGTCAGGAAACACACACCAGAGTGACAGCAAATCAAACTTTTCATGCCAGCGTGCTATGAGAGGCTCTTGTACTGTGTGAATGCCCACAGGGGTTGCCAATTGTGGATTAACTGTGAAATTCAGAGAAATTAAAGTACCTTTTCCCGCCACTCCCACCTTTACAAACAAGGGCTCCTCTTCCCGCTCTTATTGAAAGCCAAGGCTGGGTCTTTTTGTATGGATGGATAGGCAGTGGCAGGACAATGATTTTAAACTGGCAGAGGGCAGGTTTAGATTAGATATAAAGAAGAAATGCCTTACTTAGAGGGTGGTGAGCATTGGCACAGGTTGCCAACAGAGAATGTATCTGTCCCATCCCTCGAAGTGTTGATGGCCAGGCTGGATGGGGCCCTGAGCAACCTGATCTAGTGAGTGGCATCCCTGCTGTAGCAGGGGGTTAGAACAAGACAAGCTTTAAGGTCCCTTCCAACCCAAACCATTCTAGGATTCTATGGTTCTGTCTCTTCAGCCTTTGGGGACCCTATCTGTGTGCCAGCTCCCAGGCAGTGGGAAGGCCAACAGCTGCTACCTGCTGATGCAGCTGGGCCCTGTGTGAGTGCACAGCAGGAGCTGCTGCTTTCTGTACTTCTAGTACCCTTGTCGATAGGAGCTTCCCAAGGTGTAGTGCCTCCTCCTGCTTTGCTGAGGGACAGTTTTTCCTGCTCTGTTCACACAGTGAGCTTCCTCTACCTGTATCCCACGGATTGCAGCCAGGTGCAGCAGAATAGAAATGCCTCCAGTGGCATGTACACCATTTACCTGAACGGGGATGGCAGCAGGCTGCTGCACATGTACTGTGACATGAGCACTGATGGAGGCAGGTGGATACTGAGTGAGGCTCTGCTCCTCTTCCTGCTTTTTGATAAATGTAATCACATGGACATGACACAAATGTTAGTTGAGGCTCCTTTCTCTCTGCTGAACTCCTGTGTTTCAGCTCCTTCCTGAATGGAGTACCATGTTTTAGGGAGGCTGGTGGATGCTGAGGTACCCAACAGTCTGGGGTTATGTGTATGTACAATTAATGAAGTTCAGCTGATGTCTGTCAGTGTTTTCATTGCTGGTGCTGTGAGCATGTACCTCAACTCTGGCCACACAAGAAGTGTTGAATGACTCAAAGGAATCTGAAGGCAGAAGCACAGATGCTTTGAGGTGGGAAGTGTGTGTGAATGTGGAGGAGTGAGGTCTCAGGTTCTCTGATAGCAATCTCCCTAAACAACCAGAGAAAAATACTACCTTTTTCACCTTTCAGTGATACATGATTTTCTCCACTGAAATAAATTGTCGTGTGTTACTACCAAGCCCCTCTGATCTTGGTGAAGTTTAGAAACCCAAATGCCTTGTGGATCTTGTCTAAGCTTGTTTTGTCTAAGTGTTCAGATCATGCTTAGATTTGTGGGAAGTAAACTGTAAAATTTGTACAACCAAGTATTTTGCCCCAGTGTTATGTGCAGCCAGAAAATGCAGTGTGTGAATCAGGGAATCCAGCATTAAATAAGGCAAAGTTTTTGGAGAAAGAGCCTTTAAATGTTCTGGGAAAAATGATGTTGCAGTACAGCCAGTTTTGTGCTGGTTATTTGTTTTTTCTGTCTCTTGCCAGAAACTGAGATAAGACAGAATAAACTTGGCAAATTGTCATGAAGCCTCAAGAAGGGAAGGAGGAGGCAGGAAATAGTGATTTAACCAAAATGGTCATGGAGTGAGAGACTAAAACAGCAAAGGTGAACAGGCTTCCCACTTTAAAGAGTAATTGTCTTTTATTTCTAGGTTTTGACAAGCTGCACAACCTCAGGGGCTGCAGCTCCATCTGCTACGAGCTCTGTGGCTTTGTGGACAGCCAGGGAATCTGTCTCTGCTGTCTATGATTTCTTCCAGGTTGCCTCAAGGCTGTCACTAGGGAATTACAGAGGCAATGTTGGCAAGGAATGCCTTGTACTGGTGCTGTCTCTGCCCAGGGAAGCAAATGCTGGGACCTGTGTATTTGTTTTGTCAGGAGCTCCTTAGATCAGGATGGATCAGATGTGGTTCACTTTGAGGAGGAAAGTCTTCCTAGGGAGACTGAGGGGAGTGTGCCCATGGGCCTGTCTCATGCTGAAGACAGGAGAAAGAATTGCTTGTTCATAGGGAAGAGAGGGCTCTGTGACTCAGGGAAATGCCTGAAAAGGCAACTAGAAGTTTCCACGAGGTAACCTGTGCTGATGGGGCAGCAACTTCTGGGGCTTCCCAGCTGAGAGGGAATAAAAGTGACTTTTATTCAGATAGGAGTTTGCTCAACAGCAGTGCTGGCTTCTGCCACTGGTAAATCCTTACTATTGCTGTTGTGTCCCTAGTCTTCCAATTATCCTTTAAAACCCTCTTGCCATAAGGTTTAGATCTTCAGCTGGGAGGATCCACCCCTTGGACATGCCCTCTAATAGCAGTTAGAGATTTGTGTCCAGGCCTATCCTGTGGCTTTTCCCCTGCCAGGCCTGCTGAAGGGTGGATAAGCCCTCAGGCTGAGCAGCTGTAGTAACTTACTATCTGTTTGATCCCTTCTTTTAGGGGTTGCAAGGACCTACCACAATGGCTGGAAGTTCACAGTGTGGGACAGGGACAATGATGTGGCTCTCAGCAACTGTGCCCTGATGCACCAGAGCGCATGGGGGTAAAGAACTGCCACCCAGCCACTCTCAGTGGGAAGCACAGGGAGAGAAATCACAGGGAGGTGAGCAGCAGAGCTGGTGTGCTGATTATTTCTTCATAGCCTGAAGAAAATATGTGGAGGGAGTGTCTTTCCTTGCAGGAGGGATTGCCCTCCAACTCATCTCATTAGAAAGCAAAATGATCCATAACAAAACTTACAGCTCTTACTCCCTCCTCCCTGGATCCAGAGGACCTGAGCTCATGGCTCCCTGCTGCTTGTGGGCAGACATACATGAGGTGGAGCTGTCTTGATCTCTGAGGGCATCACCTAAAGGAACACTCACTGTCTTGCTCTGAGCAAGCATGATGCTCTGATGCACTGATGTAGCCTTTCCCTTGGTTTTTAGTGATCACCTTGGGGTACATCTCGCTGTACAGGCTTAATTTGGGATTGAAGATGGTTCAGTCCTTTGTGTTCCAAGCTAGATAGATGTTTGATCTCTATTAAGAGTGTTTGAAAGACTGATTATAATTAAAGTGTCTGCTTATTGGAGGGTTAAATGGTATTTGAGGTGGGCAGTGGTAGACTCCTAGCGCCTGGTCTGAGCACTTTAGTAAGAGAAATTCCTTGGTCTTCTCCCAGGGTGTGAACTGGGAGTCATGGAAAGGACATGAATTCTCCATCTGTTTTATGGAGATGAAGATTCATCCTCATTCTTCCAGTGATAAGCCAGTCCTGGGGAGGAGGAAGAAGTCTTTATCAGAGAAGAGGAAAAGGTCAGGGCTTAAATAGAACTCTGTGCAGAACAATACCAAATTGATTCAGTATTTCTTAACAAAGTTTGATTCAGACAGCTTTCTCCAATACAAAGGAGACAATAGCTGACCTATGTGGGACCCAGGGACATCTGGATCTGCAGGCCAACCTGCTACCAGCGTTTGGAGCTCCTGGTGGGTGATGTTCCAGAGAACTGGAGGGGGCTTGTAGGGGCATCATGCTTATAGATACTCTGGTTGGCTAAGCATGACAAGGACCTGCTTGATCCAATACATCAAATTCTATGAATTTTGTGTAAAGCAAGCCTCAACACATGTTGTTCTTTCTGAAACCTGGGCTGCAGATTCTTCTTAATTCTGTTTTTCTCTGGTGCCATCCACTTCAGACTTACAAAAACAAATTTGAACCTACTAGCATATAATAGCCCCCTAATTTACATCAGAGTGAATTTTTCTGAGACTATCACCTCTCCCTGTTTTGGTCTGAAGTCCTCCTTGTTATTTGGGTACATTCCCTATTCTTCCTGCAGAAGTGGGTTTTGGGAAATACTTCCAGTCTGATGGCAAGGCTCATTAACCCATGTGTGTTCTGTGGATTGGGTTCCAGTGTCACATCTCTGTAGGCTAAAATCTTGCTATTTTGCTTGTGTCATGTTTCCCAGCTCAGAGAAAAACCTAAGGAGATGTGTAGTAGATTGATGTTCACACTCCAGGGTGAGGCCCAGAACAGGGTGAATGTAAAGGTCTACCCTCCTCCAGGCTCTGCTCACCATCCCAGACCTGCCTCTCTGTACTGCTTGCTTACAGACAATTAACCAAATTCCCCGTGCAACTGTTCCATCTGCTGCCTTCTGCTTTTTCATCAGCAGTGTGGCAGGTAGTGATGCTGAAATGATAACACTTGTCATCCACCCCTAAAGTGAGCATTTCTTGGAGTTAAACTGATGCTCTGTGCCTCAGTGCATGGTTTCACATTTGACTGCTTTTATTTTTTTTTTTTTTTTTACTCACAGCCATAAAGGTGAGGTTTATTTTCTTTCCCTGAGAAGATATTAAAATTCTGGACAGCCAGCTCCAGCCAGGGAAGAAGTATGATCTAAACAAATGATGCTTGCTCAAAGGCTTCCTTGTCTGAGCACACTGGGACATGGTTCTCCCACGTCTTAATGGCCTTTTCTATTGCAGTGCTAAGCTGAGTAATATATTTTAAAGAATCCTTCCCAGACTTTGGAGAAAGTAATAAAATCCCAAATAAAGGAGGTCATTAAGTATTTCTGTCTTCTTTGTTTTGGGTGGTGGAATTATTTTTCTTCCTGTTTAAGTATTTTGCACAAAGTGTAGACGCATACCCAGGCCTGGAGTGGGACTGTGCAGGTTAGGTCTTTGGGGTGTTCTCCAAAACAGGGCTGGGGATTGTGCTCTCTTTGTGACTTAACTCTGTGAAGTGTTTAACTGATCTGTGCTTGTTAGGACCTGGCTGAGGAGAGCCAGCTAGAGAGTTGTCTCTCAGAGGTGAGGACTAAATTCTTCACTGTACTGTCAGGGCTGTGTCTCTTGGGTGGACAGGTGGGCAGAGACTGGTCTGAACTGTGTGAGGATATCCAAGCCCTGGTTTGGGGGAAGGAGGAGACTAATGGTGAGAGGAGTAGAAAGGAAAATTGCACCTGAACTGTTTTGCAGGCTCTGTGCTAAGAGCATGAGAGAAGGACGTGGGAGAGTGATAAGGGCTCTTTATTGTGAAGTGTTTTCTCCCTGTTGCCCACTTGTCTGTAGGCAAGGACGGATTTTAGTTTGTTATTCAACTAAAGGGCTCAGTGAAGTCATCAGGAAGGTGACTGAGAGGGAGAGGAGGACTAGTCTCACACACAGGCACTCTAAACATTAAGTATACGCTCTAAAAAACAGCAGGCCTGATTGTTACCTTTGACTTTTTCCTGTGCAGCAGCAGAACATAATCCCATTCTAAAGCTGAATCCCACCTGGGAGCAGGGATTCTTCTCTTAAGCGGTATAAACTCTGTTTTTGAGTTAAAGGCAAATGACGCACCGTATTTGCAGTTTCTGAGGAGAATCTGTCACTCCTAATGCACCTCTCTCAGCAGGAAGGGCAAAGTGTCAGCTTGCTGCTGGAAAACCATTGCAGAAAGTCAGTATTCCCGAACAGCCACAGGATGGCATTGTCTCTTCATGCAGGAGACACTTCCTGGTGTCCAGCTGCCCTCTGTGAAAGGACCTTTTTGGGGTTAACTAGAGTCTGTGCTACAGCCTGGGAGGCTGGAACTGCTCAGATAATGCAGTTTGTTTGCCTTGAGGAACTGGCTGTTCTGGTTTCAAGGCTCAGGATGGTCGGGGTAGTCCCATAAAAATGTCATATCCGTTTACTACCCTTGTTTTGCTGTAATATGTGGCCCTGTAACAGTGATGCTGGAGAGCCAATACATTCTCAAAACCTCTGCCTGTGAGATCACTTAAAAGTTTATATACTGATTTGTGACACACCCAGGGCAGAATTTAAATCCCTGAAGGATCCTCACTGCATTGGCATTGCTGTGCTGATGAGGATCGTCCTGTAGCTGGGTCCTACCAGCCAGGACCCATCTGTTGTGATATATCTGCTGTTTCTGTGACCCCAGAGAAATGTTACTGTATTTACCCAGGAAGAGAAGGGAGAGGATGCCTCTTCCCAGAGATTCTGTATTGTTGTGATTTGGAGAGAAGCCTGAAGTGTCTTACTGCAGTGGAAACTTGCTTGGAAAGAAGTGCTGTTACTTTTGGTCACTGTTCTATGCTTTGTTGGCCAAATAAATGGTGGAATGGTCAGTGAGGATCCAATTCTTCTGTCATAGAGAGATTTAATGGGTATTTTTTGCTTCCCTTCAATCTTTAGACTGCTAAACTTCATCTCAGCCACTGCATATTTCTAACCTAGGAGCCTGGAACTATCCTTTCCCCTTGCAGCCCAGGTTACCCAAGAACACCTTGCCCTAAATCATGTCTAACATCTGGAGAGAAGCAAGAATCTCCTTTCTTCTCCAGGAAGTGGGCCTCTGCCTTTTCTAGCTGTTCATCACTATGGTCCTGTACTCCTTTTTCACCAGTCTCTTCCAGAGCCTCAGCTTTGAGGACAAGGGACAGCTTGGTGCCTCATCTGGCTGAGAAGCAGGGTTTTTTTTGCCCTCATGGAGGCAGAGCTCCATGGTGTAGTATTTGAAAAGGCTCTACCCAGCAAGCTGCAAACACCATTAAATACTTGTCTGATAAAAACCAGCTGGGTTTAACTAGTCCATGCTGTTGATCCTCTGTAAGAAAAAAAAACAAACCTGCAGCCCACCTCCCACAGCACAAACACACCTTTTGCTCTTCCCACTACTTCTTGCCCTTGGGTAGAGGAGCTTGGCTGTGCTCATTAACAAAGCAAGGCCATTAACTTAAGCTGTTTCTTTACGAAAATGTCTCTAAGCTGCACAGCCTCTGCCACTGAGCTCTCCTCTACTCTTATCTAGGGCCAGGACAGGTACAAGAAAGATTTCCCCGGGAAAATAAACACATGACTAAGACATTGAGATACAGTGTTTGTTTTCGGTTTAATAGTCATTTATTTTTGGTTTAAAAAAAAAATTGCACAAAATTTTTTTTGTTGTTGTTCCCTGTTGCATAGACTTGTTCAGGAAAATTGAAGGTTGATACTGAAATGCAGTTTTGGGAGGCAGGGCTGGGGTGTTTGGAGAGCAGGGACTGCAGTGGAGTTTCTGTATGGTGCACGTCTGCCCCCTTGGTAACGTGAGTGCTGCAGGGTTTTGCTGGTGGGTAACAGGTTCTAGTGCACCTCAGGCTGTTGCTGCTCTTTTGCTTTTTCCTTCAGAAGCAGACAATTCAGTGCATGGTTTGGCTCAAACAATGGACACCAAGGAAGAAAGCCCCTGTGCTTTAGGGAGTGTGGAGGCTCAGACCATCCACTGGTCGGATGAATCAGGGCAGGGTTGTATCTTGGTCCCTCCCTGCCCAGCCCAGGGCTGGTTTGAATGATGATTTTAGGGAGCTCTTGAAATTCAGACCTAGCTTTGAACTCCCCAAAGCCTGGATCTGGAGATGTATGTGATATAATGCTCACATTTTCCTGGCAGCTCTCTGGTTCTTGTAGCAGTTGGTTGCTCTCACCCGAAGAGTCACTTGCTATGCTTCCTGCAGGAAGCCCTGCAAAGCCATCTCCACACCAGGCAGGCTGTACTCTGACAGTGCTTGCTGCCTCTGTGCCCCTGCTTGTTTGGCTGAGCCTCTGGCCTCCCATGGTGTTTCCCTTTACTCTGATTTTTTTTGATTCCTCCAGGCAGCACCACCCTGCCTCCAGGGCTGCTGATGCCTCTGGATCACAGCACCTGCATGGGCTCCTTTGGCCACCCGGTGAGTGTGGAGGCAGGAGGGCTGAGAAAAGCACTTGGATGGGGAAAGGAGGGAAGGAAGACGGAATAATACAAGTGCAGTTCTAGTTCTCCAGGATCTTGGCCAGACTGGAAGCTTGGGACAGAGATCAGAGCTATTTCTGCGTTTCCTAGCACGACATGTGGCAAATCCTAATTTTTATACCATTTTATGTTGCTTCCTGCTTTGGAGCAGAATGGAGTCACTAATTTCAATGCTGACAAAGCAAACTGGAATATAAGGCACATATGGGGTCAATTTCAAGGGCTGTATGAGGAGGAGCCCAGCCTTACAGCTGTTCCCAGCACAGCTGCATGCAGCCAAACCCTGTGACATGATGTGACCATCACAGCCCTGCCTGCATCAGACAAAACAGGCTGTGCTGGGACTGGGTGGCACAAGCAGCTGCTTCCAGCTGGTGGATTTGTCCTCCAAGTGAGGGGAAGGTGGCATCACCCTTGCCTAGGCTGGAAGCAGCTGTGCCCAGCAGCTCAGTCCAGGCTTGCCCACGTGGGTTTGACTGCTTGTTCCCCAGATGTCTGGCTCTGGCTGGCAGCTCTGGTCTGCTCCAGCAGCTTAAGAACTGGAAGAAAATGGAAGGAAGACATCCAGTGTACAGACAGGGCAAAACCCAGATGTGACGAGGCTTCTCATCACACACATGCATCCCTCAATGGAAAAAGAGATGGGGGAGACAGAGCCTGGTGGGGCAGAGAGTGGGGAGCAGAGGAGACTCCCAGCTCAAGGGACATAGGATGGGAACAGAAGCCAGGGTGGGGCAGGTGGGAAACATAGCAGGGATGAGAGCTGTGTGTGGTCCTGTTAGCTGCTGTGCCCAGGTGAACCATCTTTCCAAGGATGGAGAGAGGTGCATAGTCTGGCTGGATAATGTATCCCTGTGTAAGGGGTGACTGTGCACATGGAATTTACTTTGCTTCTACAGCACAAAATCCCAGAGCTGGTCAGCCAGACAGCCACACAGAAACCTTCAGCGCAGCACACAGAGCTGGCATCAGCTGGGGCAGCATGTGTTCATGGGTCTCTGTGTGTCTGACACGTGGCACAAGTGCTGCAGGGAGAGGTGACAGCTGAGTGTGCCAGGAAACCCTGACTGCTGCTTCAATACTGCTTCCATGTGCCTGGCCCTGCTCCAGAGGGGCCTTTGGTCCTGCTCTTCTTTAGTAGTCATTCAATAAATAACTCTAATGCCCTTAGCAAAGCTTTTACACAGCCTCAGGTTGTGTTTCTGCTCTTGCAGTAGCATAGTGGGCTCTTTAATGGCAAGTTTGTATAGAACAGTCTTTCCAGGAAGATGTTTTCTTAAGTGCTGGTGCAAAAGGGCTGGTTTGGCAGCTGCCTCTCTCCTTTCTGCCTCTAGCCTAGGTGGCAAGGTGTCCTTCTGCTGTGCTGCCTTTGGGTGGTGTCTGAGGTCTCTAAGGTTGGGCTGAGGGCATCTAGCTTCAGGGGCTCACAAGTGACTTTGGTTTGGTTCCTGGGAGATGGCACATCTTTGAGCTGTGGGGTAACTCGGCTTTCTTTGTGCCTCCAAAGCGAGCTGGGTTTGGACGAAGTCTAGACAGTGAAGCTGTGCCATTTCCATGGCAGGACAAGCAAACGAGGTGTGTCTGTGCCTGCTTCACTCACAGCTGTCTGTGTTGTGCAGGGGGAGTGTACAGGTGGCTCGGTCCTTGGGTGAATGTTGTCCTGGGAACCTTGTCTGTGCCACAGCGTGTGTGCTTGCAGGTGAGTGCAGAGGGAGAGCCTCGCACCCCGTTCACTGTGTGCCAGCCCTGTGTGTGCGCGCTGTGCTCGTGGCAGGAGGTACGTAGGACCGGGTGGCATGTCACCCTTGTGTGCTCACCTGTCCTTTGCAGGGGTCTCTGCCCTGGGGCATGCTGTCATGGTGGGGGAGAAGAAGCTTGCACAACCTGTGCCAAACCACCTTGTTTTCTGTTGGCCCTTCAACATGCTGGGCTCAGCCTGTGTTGAAAGTCACCATAAAGTGGCAGCAGCTTTGGTACCTCCTCTCCCCTTCTGGTGCACAGGTGAAAGGAATGGTGGCATCTCAGAGGAGAGGACCCATCTGCTAGATGGGCAAGGAGGGTCTCTTGTCCAGCAAGAGCAGCTTGGGCTGAGCCGAGATCCACAGGTCCTCTTCATCCTGCTTCTTCTTCTTTTTCTTCTTGTTCCTCTCAGCATGCAGCTGCCCATTGCTGCTGGGGCTACCTTTCCTCGTGCTTTCTCTCTTCTGTCTGCAGAAGCAGCAGTGGCAGCAGATGAAAATGAAGGCGATGAGGACAACGAAGGGTAGGCCCAACAGGACGGCCAGGCAGACAGTGTTGAAGATGCCTTCCTCATGCTTGGTACGGATGAGCTCCAAGATGGAATTAAAGAAAGAGCTGATCTTCTGCTGCATGTCAGCTCCTGAGTAGGCTGCCTGTGCTGCTCCCTCTGCTTGAAAGGCACCTTGAGATATGCTCAGCTCCTGTAAGCAGCCAGTGGGCTCCACAAGAGTCCTTGGATGGTGCCTGCAGAGACAAGAAACCGCATGGATCAGGTGCCTGCTCCCTCAGCAGTTTTCTCCATGGAGCTGCCAGAACAGCCTAAGCCTCAGCAGGGTAAGATGTCTCCTGCCTTGGAGGGGCCTGGAGCCATGGGGGATGAACTGTGCTGCCTGCTATGTCACTTTGCGTGTCTTCATCTGAGAAACACAGCCTCCTGTCTCCTGGGGTTTGTTCTTGATTGTGGGGATGGATGAGAAGGGCTTTGGGCATCCCCACTTGCCTAGGAATCTAGCCAAGCACAGATCCTGCCCCTTTGGATTTACACATCAGCCCAGGCTGAGCAATCACAGCACAGAGCTCTTATTAGCCCTTTGCAGGGCTTGTTTTGTAGCAGATGAAATACGGTCTGCAGGAGAAGCTTTTCTGTCTAGGAAAGGACTTGCCTGATCTAGGCCAGTGATGTTTGTGGAGACACAGTACTGCCACAGGAGCCAGGACTCACATGTCACAGGTCCCTCCTTATTCCCAATCCTAGGATGGGGTATCTTTGGCCTGACTGTTTCTCAGGGTCCATGGTCTGGGATGGGCAGCACAGAGGCAGGGTCTGTTCTTGCTGCCCCAGCAGCCCTGGCACCGTCAGCAGGTTTGGTGTGGGGGCTGTGGCTAAACCACCTGTATTTGGGATGAGGACTATGGTCAGTGGGACTCACAGGTGATGCTCAGTTGGTGGAGCCCAGTGAGCAGCCCTGCACCCACAGCTGCTTCCATGCACCCAGGGCTGCCCACAAAGGTGGCAGCAGGGGAGGATAAGGGTTGGCTGGGGTGGAGGAGTTGCTGCTGCTGTGCCTCACCTGGGAATTGCTCCAAGGGTTTGGGTAGGGCTGAGACGCATTTCTGTGGCTTGACGTAAGGTTTTCCTCTTCCCTCAGGGAGGGAGAGGTGCTGCTGAGTGTCAAGGCTCTCAGGGAAGCCCTCCTGCAGGGGCAGGGAGCTTCTGCCTCTACTCACATCTTTCTTCTTCTCTTGTGGCCAGGCAAAGCATGAGTAGAGCAGGGGCCCTTGTGCTGTGAGTTCACAGTTCTGGTTCAACACAGGGGTCACTAAATTAGAGGCTATAGAGATGAAGAGCTGTCAGGGGCAGTATCAGGCTCTAACATCCTATTTCACCCTTGCTCAGCATTTTACAGCAGTGTCTTTGCCAGCCTTTCGGATTCAAGCCCTGAAGCCTCTTGAGGGAGTGCTTAGATCCCCATGCACCCAGGAGGGAAAACTGAGGTGCAGTACAAGGAAAACCAACACTTTAATGTAACAAAAACTTGAGATGTACAGCCTGAACACCAAAGATGTCCTAGAGGGGTTGCTCCACTTGTCCCCTGTGACACCAACACTTTATCTTTCCTTCTGGCAGCTCTCACAGAGCTTGGGGACCTTGAGGGAGGGACAGGAAGGGGACCCATGCTGGTTTCAGTTGAATCCTCCTTGTCAACAGCACTGCTCTTCCTTTGAATCTCATTTTTCCTTTGTTTGGCACCTGCTAAGGATGCTCTCTTGTATGGAGCATTTTAGGATCCTCCAGCTAGCACCACTGTGCTTCCTTCTGCCTTGCTGTGCCATTACACCCCATTCCTAAAGGAAGATGAAGCCACCAGCCTCACCCAAAAAAGCAGCCACCAGTCCCACACAGCACTAAGCACAGCCCTCGTGATGCTGCTTGGGCAGGAACTCCTGGGCAACCCCCCAAAAAAGCAGCTCCCAGGAAAGAACTGCCTTCCAAAATGCTGTCCTGGGACCTACAAAACTCTACAGGGTCTTGTTTCACTGGTCTCCCCTGGCTGCTGGCTTTCAGACCTGACTGTCAGGACCTCAAGAGCTGAATCCCTTAGCATAGATACCAAGCTCTCAATTTGGGATTCCACAAGTGCTCAGATTCTGTTAAAAATAAAGGATTTATCTGTGTCCCTCAGAAACAGACTGACCACTGCAGATTTATTGTTTCAATTTGTACAAGCACACCAGCTGAGCTGGCCCCAATTAGCTGGTAGTTTCTCTTTTGAACATGAATTTCTCTGAGTGCCTTTCTAAAAAATTCTCATTTGAGATTTACCAAATGAAATGCAGTCCTCTGGGAGGTGGTTTTGGCTTTGGCTGGAAGAAGTTTATTATTATTACCGTTATTACTATTATTATTACTGGATTTTTGTCCAGTCTGCTGCAGCAAAACTGGCTATTCCTCAGATTCCCTCATTCCATTACTCAAAAGAGGACAGAATATCATCAACATCCCCACCTGAGAAATCACAGGCTACCACTCAGAGATTCAAATCCCATACAAACACTTCCTACCCCAAACCTGGAGCCAACTGGGAGCATCCCAGATCTGCTTTTGCTCACAGGGAGATAGGTGAGAGCCACTTCTAAAAGCCTGCTCCCTGTCCTGACCTTCATCTTCACCTTCACATCTTTTATTTGGGGGCAGCTGTAGTAAAGGTTACACTGCAACATAAATAAACAGAGAAGTTTTTCTTCAGTGTAATCATCCATGTGATGAAAGTTTGCCATTTATCCAGAAGTATCCTGACAGCTCATTATCCAGGCAGGAATACAGGATGCCTATGATACACTTGACTCCAAAACAGAAGTAAAAAACCAAACAGCCCCCAAACAACAACCGCCTTAATTTCAGACAAAACAGGATGTACAGTTTTATTCCTGCACTGAGCTGCTTTATATTTATTGCCTCTAAGCTTCTGGGTAGGGAAGGAGGGCTGGAACTTCCTTTTAAACTTGTAATTAATTGTTTGCAGAGGAAAAAAGAACAGGGAGGAAAAAAAAAGCAAAGCTCTTTGAAATGTTTCCACGTTAAACTGGAGCTGAATGCTCTGTAGAGGCCCTGGCTGATTGTCACTGGGAAGTGTCCAGCTGGGGACATGTGGCCACCCTGGGCAAGCTGAATGTGCGTCCCTTGGAAGGGGGAGGTGGAGGTACCTGCCCCTACTCTGACCAAGCAGCACCCAAATCCCAGGGCCATCTTCCAGCATGGCCATGCAGCTGGTTTTCAAATGCCTTTTCTTTCTGGTGTGTGCATTGCTTTTTGTTTTGTAGATGAAGGGATATCTGTGTGCTAAATAATGGGGTTCTTCAGTTTCATATAAAAAAAAGGGGGGGGGAGGGGAAAGTTGGAGGCAGAAACTCCAAGGGCAGAGGGGTTACCCAAGGCCACCCATTGCCAGCTGAAAACCTGAGTGCACCATGAGGAGCTGCATTAAGGAAAATCCATGCTGCTGCTCAATTTGGTGTGATGTCTCCCCTTAGAGAAGGGATGAACACGGAGAGCTGCTCACGTGCTGTGATCCAGGATGGGTGTGAACCGCCTGCTGCAAGCACTTGGAACTGCCATTGGGAGGTCAGCTGTTTTTTGGGTCAAGATATGGGACCAAAAACCAGGGCCAGGGAGGTACTGGGAGACAGGGCTGTGTCTCAGGGAGGGCTGTGAAGCATCCTGCTAAATGAGTTCTTTGTTTTTGGGCAGCTGGTGCTGGCAGAGCCAGGGGAAAGCTGACATGGAAACTCGCCTGGGAACTCCTGTGGCCAGGGATGGATGGCTCCAACTGATGGCAGCTCTACAGGCAGGGCTTTATGCCACTTGTGTAAGTTTTAATCAACATTGCGCATCCAGCATGAAGTTCTTTAAACCACAGTGGCTTCGAAAGAGCCGGTTTGCAAGGGTGGAGAGCATCTGCCACTCCTCTGGAGTTATGGGAGGCTGTGGGTGGAAAACAAGGTCCTTTTGAGGGACGGCTTGTGATGGCACCACAAACCATTGGCATGCAGGGCTTGCCTGGCTGAGCTGGAGAGGTAAAGGCTGCCAGCCTGTGTGTGGGGAAACCAAAACAGAGGGGGTTGCCTTGGCAATGCTGGCTTGTCCACATCCTGTGCGCTGCAGAGCAACCGCAGTGACTGGAGATGGAGGTAAGAGTTTGAAGAAAAGCTGCAGTTTACTGGAAACTGCTATGCTGTGTCACCGTGGCAGAGGGGAGAGAGCTGGAGGTCATTTTGCTAGTTAAGTTCTTCAGGCCCAACATTCAACAGGCTCTTATGTCTTCATGAAGTTCCCTCCAACCTAATGAAGCTCAACCAGCTTCTCTTAGCTGAGATGCCACCAGACTCAGACAGGAGTGAGGCTGTTCTAAGGTGCAGTGAGAGCAGCAGCAGCTCTGGGGCAACTGAACTGTGGTGTATGCCCAAATATTTCTGGATTATTTCAACACACTCTGTGCTCTGTGGCCGGCTGCAACTCAGGACTTGTGGAGGTGACATGAAATCAACTGACCTACAGCCACCCCCATTTCCTTAATGCAGATGAGACCACACTTGGTGCAGTTGATGCTAAGGAGTGCAAAGCAGGAATCACATTATTAAACAACCATTTCCGTCTGTTACTGCCTTTATGTCAGCTTTATACCAAGTTTCCATTGCAGTGACAGCTGTGGTTCAGGCAGGGAGAGGCTAATTTTTGTTACAGCCTATGAGCTCCCTGATCCACCCAGCAGAGACACAGCTATGCTGTCACACGAGTGGCACCTATTTTCCCTGCTTGCACCTGCAGACTTAAAGGAAAACTGGATGAAACCTGACACCGAGGGTGAGCAGTTTCCTTAGCAGGGATTGCACGTTGCTGTTTCGGAAATGGTGACTAAGAAGGATTTTGCCGCCGGTCTCCCAGAACTCGCAGCAGGCTACAAGACCTTCCTCAAACGTAAAAGACAAATACCAAAAGCCACCACCCAGCAAACATGGCCAGCTGAAGCTTCATCTCGTTCCCACCACCATCAAACCTTCCTGCCAGAAGCCACTCGTAAATTCTTTCATTCCTTAAAGGGAGTGATTTGGAAAACGACTGATATGGATGTTGGATAACAGGGTTAAAGTGAAACTATTTTGCAAGCTGCTGCCTGGAGCCCACTCGTCATCACGGTCTGCACACGCGCGGCTGCCGTCGGCCCCGGGATCACCGAGACTGTGGCCAAAAGATCAGTTTTAAGTTTAGGTGAGCGCCACTGTCATCCCTGGACACACAGGGAGCTCCTTAAAGGCATCCTGGGCTTCTCCAAACTACGGTACGGGCAGTGCCATGGCTCTCCCTGGGGTCGATCGCGTGTGGTTTTGGTTACAAGAGACACAGGACGCTGCCAGAGAAACTGTGGATGCCCGATCCCTGAAGTCTTCAGGGTCAGGTTGGACGGGGCTTGGAACAACCTGGTCTAGTGGCCGGTGTCCCTGCCCATGGCAAGGGGTTTGGAACGAGGTGGTCCTTAAAGTCCTTTCCAATCAAACCGCTCTGGGATTCTGTGGTGTTCAAAACGTGTGGGGGCAGCTCGGGTGTCCCAAAACCCCGGTGCCAGGCAGACTGCCCCTGACACACGTCCCCTGAGAGCTGCCTGCTGCTCCTCGCTCTTTCCCCAGTGCCCCCTCCCTCCCGGGCCGCGCGAAGCAGATGATGTGGCCTTAAAAAATAAATAAAGGGCGAGCAAACTCCTGGATTTGAGTAACAACAGCACGGAGGATAACGCCTAGGGAAGCCCAGCCCCGGGGTCTCCCTCCCGGGTACTCCCCTGGACCCCCGACCTACCTCGGCGCCGCGGCCCCGTCGCGCCCGCTCGTCCCGGCGGCTGCTGCGGGGGAAATGGGACGCCCCGTCCCTGCCGTGGCGTCCCGCCCGCCTCCGCCCCCGGCACGGCCCCGCCGCCCGCCCGGCCCCACCTGGGGCTCCCCCCGCACCCTCCCACGGAACCCCAAACTGCGCGGGACACACGCACTCTGTGCGGAGCGGGCCAGGCTCAGCAACCTAGGCTGGGAGAGAGGCGGGGACGGGGCACAAACCAGTCCCGAACCTGCTTTGGGAAAGAGGGAGGGAACCGAGTGGCTCTCCGGGCTTTGGTGCAGCCCGGGTTTTCCCAGAAGCGTTTTTGGGAGACAGCAGGGACTGCAGTTCCCCAAGAGCAGTGCCAGGAGTACCACCCTGGACCCACTCACCACTGCCACCCTGCTCCCTCTCACCTCCACCCAGCACCCCATCACCTGCATGTTGTCACTGCTGCACTGCCCTGACGTCCACCCTAGAAAGGGGACATTGCAGCCAAGCAGGAGATGATGGAGCATCCCCAGGGACTGCCCCTGGTCCATGCAGCATCCCAGGAGCATTATGGGTGCTATACAGCCATGGATAATGATGGATGTTTAAGTCTGGGAAGGCACTTCTGGCTCTGCAGGGTTTAATGGTGGCCTAGGCATTGCTGGTTAAGGGTTGGACTTGATGATCTCAGAGGACTTTTTCAACTTAAATTATTCTGTGATTCAATATTTTCAAACTGTGATCCCAGTTCCATTGGGACTGTCACCCCCACCCTTCACTTGCTACTTTCTCTCCCACTTATTTATTTTTTAACACCCTTGCAGTGATATCCAGGAATTGCTGAATCCCAGCTGCTTTCCAGTCCAGGGCTCTACAGCCTCCACACAGTGTTGTGGTTCTAACAACATCTGGGCAAGCTGCAACTAGAAAAATGTTCTGCTGGAATTTTTCTGGTTGGACTGAGTCCTTTTGGATTGCAAAATCCCAACGTTTGCCTTCCTTGCCCACCTTCATTCTCCAGAGCCAGTGTCTTGGCTTTACTGCTTCAGCCTTGGTGCTGACTTCTTGAGCTGGGCTAGCCGGGGCTCTCTGACCCTTCAAGGCTCCTGGAAAATAGCCTCAGGTTTCCAGCACTGTGACTTGGCAGTACCAGGAGCAATGCAGTGCTGGGAATAGGAGGGAAGAGGGATAGAGAGGAATGGAGGGATGGAGGTAAGTTGGCTGCCAGCCTCTGCTGCCCTCCTGTCTTCACCCTAGTGCTGGGCATGGAGAGGTGAGAGGTCATCAGAAACATACATTGTAGGCTACAGCTTGTGCTAAGTGCCTCCTCATAGCCTTGGGGAAGGTGTTTTTGTTTTGTGGGAAACACAAAGCAATTTTTTCCCTGAAGATTTGCTGCTTAATGCCAGGAACTTTTCCCTTGGCTTTATGCTGCAGGATGAAGATCCCTGGCCTTTGCATCATGTGGCTCACTGCATCTCAGCTTCTCATATCCCAGTTCACCCTATTCTGACTCATTCAATCCCATCTCTCCATGTCCCAGCTCACCCCTTCCTATTTCTCCCTTGTTCCCTGACCCTATCCCAGCTCACTGCTTCCCAGCTTACCCCATCCCAGCTCTCCCCACATACTGAGCTGCAGCCACTCCCTCTTTTGTGGGTACCAAATCCCACTGTGGAAACATCCTTCCCAGGGCACACAGAAGCCACCTGGGTGCTGACAGTCACCTGAGGGGTACCTGACCACTCTACAGCACCAGATAGCACAATGCCACCTTTGAACCCCCTCTAATAGGATTGACTAAAAATATTTCATATCAGAGCTCTCCAAAGGTGAGCATGTCTGAAAGCATTAGGCTTCAGGGTTCCTGGGCCTGGGCCTGGGAAAGTGAAAGCCCAGCCTGTCCCTGGCACCTGGGATATTTGCTTCATTCCCTGTGCAAACAGCCTCTCCGGAGCTCCATGCTTTCATATTACTAATTTAATTTGGCAGAGGCCTTAACAAGGGAGGAGCCTTGCACCTTCCCCGGATTTTCGGGGGCCCCCCTGCACACAGCTTCAGGCAGGAGTGCTGTGGTGATGTGGCAGAGGTGGTGGGCACTGCTACTGTCTTGGAATGCTGCTACCTGTGAAGGATGACACCAAGGCCAGCCAGGGTGGTGATGTCATTAAACTGATCTGGGAAGAATCAGATAGACTTTAAGAAATTTAGAATTAATGCAAGAATATATAAATATAGTCAGTCCACTGCTCTGTCTAAGCTAGCATCCTTCTCCCCAAAACTGACCTCTAAAGGTCCCTTCCAACTCCAACTCAAATTCCATAGTGGTCTGTAGATGTTTTGAATTAATCTAAACAGCATGTGATGCTTGACCCTGTGGATTTCTCCTGCAGCAAGGTGTGCCAAGGCTCCTTCCCATATGGCATGACAAAAAGGTACATTTGCAGGGATTTTGAACCTGCCACCTCCTCATTTTGTTTGGCATGCAGCGTATCTGGGATCCAAGGAATTGTGCTTTGTTTCTCAGAAACTTTAATGGGCGAGAGGAAGCCGTGACTCAGCTGCTGATGAATCACTGCAGCTCCAGATTGTCTCCCTGCTTGCTGGTGCCCCTCAAACACAGGAACTGAGTGAGCCCGTGCCAGGCAAGCTCCTGTCACCTCATGGGATGTCAGCCTGAGCCCAGGTCTGGGACCAGCTGGAAATCAAATCCCACCTCCAGCTCCTGTTTTCCGTCCATTCTGCCCAAAATCCTTATTTCCATGTGATACCAAAGCCGTTCCCATGCCAAAAAGCACTCCCAGAACTTCAATTTCCTCCTAAGACCCCCTCAACTCCTAATTTGATTTTGAAAACATTACTTATTTTACACTGAAGATAGAAACACCCTCTTGCTTCCCCCTTGTTTCATTTGTTTCAGCTAATTTTGTTACCAGTTTGCCCTGTTACGCAGCTGTGAGCTTTACTCCTTGATAACACCCAGCTGGTACCCAGGGTCAGTTTATTTGGGGTTTTCTCAGCATGGTGGGATGGGGAGCAGTGGTAGTATGATTGCAGACATGATCACACCTTTCTTTCCCAGCTGCTTCCTCTGCTCTCTGGTGGTGATTTCTATTTGCAGACACTAGTCTGGCTTAAAGTAAGCAATGGAAAACTCTGCTCCCAGAGAAACATTCCTCTCATTTTTCCCCCATGCTTCTGCCTTTTCCTCTCCCTCTCCCCCTCCCACAAAAAAAGCCTGCAGTTTAAACACCAAAAATAACGCATGCCCTGGTCATAGTCTGGATAAAAATAGCAGCTCTCGGTATTTAGCAGCAACAATGTGTTTTCTGGCTTTGGAGGAAAATGAGGAGGAGGAATGGGATGGGATGGTGACTTTCGATGCAGGAATGGAGGACAAACACAAAGCTGGTGTTTTGGGATAAGCTGCTTCATCCCCTCCTCTCCCTCATTTGCTACCAGCTGGGCTCTGTCCCCTTCAGGGAGGGGGAGCTGTGAGGGTAGGTTGGGCTCAGATTCCCAGTCCCACCTAAGCCCCACCTTGGGCTGCCCTGTTTTGGTGCTTCCCTGAAGTGTTGGGGCTAAGTCCCGTGTAGGCAGTGATGGGGGCAAATGCTGCTCTTAGGGAAAATGCCCCAAAGCTGGTGAATTTTTGGGGGTGCCTCATGCCCACCCATCACTTGTGAGGCTTTGCAGCTGGGCTTGCCAAGGTGGGTTAGGATTTGCAGGATCATCTCTCCCTGATACTTAGACAAGAAGAAGGTAGGGAGTGAGGTGGGGTCCTCAGGTGTCTCCTCAAATACTGCTTGGTGCTTCTGTTGAGAAAGCTGTGGTATAAGGGACCTGTGTGCAGGTGAGGAGGAGGGTGGTATGTGTCTGCTCAGGGCACAGTTCAGTGTTTGGGCTGTTTAGAGCTGATTGTTTTGTGCGTGTGAGCCTTCAGGAACTCCTTCCTGAGGAAATCCTACAGGCAGCACTGGTGGCAGGCAAGGAGGAGAGGAGACACACTAGGAGGTGGGGAAAGCACCCGGGCTGGGCGAGTCCCGGCAGCGTGACGTGGTGCCTTCCCGTTTGGGAACGCTCAAAGATCTGTTATGTGAAAGCCAGGGAAGGAAAACTTGTTGGTGAATGGGGGTGCTCCTTCCCCCAGCGTGGAAATGGGGTCAGTGGCAGCATCCAAGGGCTGGATTTGTGGAAGAGGGGCAAGTGATGCTTGGGCACAGTCTGGTGCCCCCAAGGACCAGCATATGCCCCAGTTGTAGGAAGTGGTGGCTCATGCCTCCTCCAGCCACCCCCAGGGGTTTCCCATGCTGGATGGGTGTCAGATATGATCTGCCAAGGTTGATTTTTAGGTGAAAAACCGGTTGTGCCGGCCATCCCCTCTGCCACAATCCTTCCTTTGGCTCAGCTCCGTGCTGCTGAGGAGCAATCAGTGGCCATCCCTCAGTGCTGGCTTCCCCCAGAGCCTAGCTGAGGTGGACAGGGAGAGCTAATCCTGCTTTTTAATGATATGCAGATGCCAAATTAGTAGTAGTATTTTGATGATTTTCATTATTTGTTCTCCTCCATAAGCCACTCCCATGGGGGAAGCTGTTCCCAGAGATCTGTGGTGAGCTGATGTCCCTTGGCTCAGGATCACATGAGGATTTTGGCTGGTGGTATTGGAGCCATTGGAATGTTCTGTGCTGCCCTTGGGGCTTAGCTCCTGCCTGGAGGTGGGACTATCTGACCTTTGTTCTTCACAGTTCAAAGTGTTTCTCCTCCTCATCTTGTTTGCTACCAGAGGGGCTCTGTGGAGAGTATGCAGCTGGGTGTCAGGGCTTGGTCAGCTTGTTGGGAGCTCACCCACCTGCCAGAGGGAACTGAGAGAGAAATGCAAATTGTGGTGGGTGAAAGAGGAGAAAAAACAACCATGACCTTTCTTCTGGGGGTGTTTTTCCTCTTTCTGCCCCTCTGTGAGGGAGAGCAGGCTCCTGTATTTTGAAGGGCAAAGTGACCCTCAGACAGGGGGCAGAGGCCAAGGGGTGGCCAGGGAGATGCCATCTGTTTTTGGC